TGTGGTAGAACCTGTCGAGCCTAAATTGGCCTCCCTAGTCACGTAAGAGCACAGAAATAGATCATGGGAAACCGTCCTTGGTGGGGAGGGGTCATCGGCGTCATGGGGAGGAGTGTGAAATGCTGTTCCCTGCCTCCTTCCAAAATCCCTCAAGGCCAGCAAGGGGACAAGAGCCTTTTCCCATTCTCCAGAGGGACAGAACGAGGTCATTTGACATTTAAGGAAGCTGCTGACACCCCAGACTGCTGAGGGAGCTCCTGAGGGCCTGGGTGCTGGTGGAAGGCACTGCCCTCTAGGGTGGGCTGCCAGCCTGTTGCTCTCCAGAGGGGCCAGTTCTCTAGGGCTGGCTCTTGCTGAGCACCTGGGATGCCCCGCATTGGAGTTAGCACTGCATAGGTTCGTGTTCAGATGGAGCCTGCCTGAGCTGGGAGCCAGGACACCTGGGTTTGAGTCCCTGCTACTTAAGATCTCCTGCACAGCAGCCTGAGAGGGAGGCTTGGTTTCCTTGTCTGTGACACGAGGCAGCTGAAACAGATGATCTCTCCCCTTTCTCGCTCTTCGCTCTTTTTGTTGGCGGTAGCTCTTCAGGTCCAGGGCTTATCTGCAGAGGCCTCATTTTCATCCTGTGTAGACATTCCAAACCGCTTAATACACCCTTCCCTCAAACTCTGTGTACCCTGGCTCCCCTCCTCCGCCCAGCCTTCTGTGGCTGGTGGCTTCTGGGAGCAGGGTCTTTTTAGAGCCAATTGTTAAGCTGCTTAGGTCTGCCAGGTCAGTCTGCACACCGTGGTGCTTTTCCAGGGGGAACTCAAGGTACCATTTCCTTGCTGCTAGGGTTTGGGTCACAGGGATACTGGAGTTGGTGACTCCTACAAGAGAAGGCTGGGAGCTGGGGCATGGCCTGTGGTGTGTTCAGAGCAGGAGGAAGGCTTGACCTTGGTTTTTATTTTGAACCCTTTTCCCAAAGGTGCTGCTAAAAACCTGCTCTTGGTGTCCTAGAACCCCTTGTCTGCTTGGGGGCAGTGTCCCTTTGCCTGGACACTCTCTTTTTAGTCTAAGCCTGTGCTGGCAGTCATCACAGAGGTTACCGTGTCAGCACCTGCATCATCCTCCCCCCCCCGCCCCGCCCCCTCCCCGAGGAGTCAGGGTATCCCTGGCTGTACTGCCCAGAGAATCTGCTGTGGGAGCCCCCGCTGGGCTGATGGGGCAATGGGGCTCGTGGAGAGATCGGAAGCCCAGCTAGATGGGAAGGAAGTGTCACTAAAGTATCACTGGCGCCGCTCAGTTGTACCCATGAGCTGGGCAGAGCGGTCTGCTCTAAGCCAGAGCCCGGTGTGTGTGGGGCCCTTCTGCTGGCTGCCCACCCAGCTGCCTGGGCCGGGGCTTCTCCGGGGAGGCAGTGTTGGTTAGTCCTTCCGGAGGCTGGAGGACAGGGTGCTCTTGCTGCCAGTTCCTAAGGCCACAGCTCCCAGGAGGCAGGGTCAGAGTCCCCGGAAGGGGAGGAGTATGGAGCGGGCAGACCTGAACCCTTCTGTCTGCCTCTGCAGGAGGTCCCTGGGTCAGTTACCGGCTTCCTCTCCACTTCTGCAGCTCTGTCAGGAGGAGGCCTGGGGTAGGAGGCCGTGCCCTCCCATGTGACCCCTTCCCAGGCCTTTGCTGGCCAGAGTCCCTAGCCTGTCCTCTTAGGGACCAGTGTTCCTCCATCTACTTTCTTCCCTTTCCAGAGGTCCTGCCACCTTTCTCAGTCCACCAGGAGGAGGTCGAGAGCCTTCTCCTATTTCCACACTCCCATTTCCCCTTCCAGGTGCTTGGTTCTCAAGGCAGCCACTGCCACCTGCTCTGCTCATGCTAAGCTTGCAGAGGGCACAGATCCTCGAGGGGGAGCAAGGCCAGCCACACTCTAGGTGTCATGCCCAGAAAACTGCATTTGGGGGGCTCTGTGCCTCCCCCCACCCTTTTCCTGACTCCAGCTGTCCAGCCGCAGCCCCTTCCATCTTGGATGGAGCCGGGCTACTACCTGCAGACCCACGGGCTGCTGCATCCTGTCCAGGCCCCACAGGGCCTGCAGATTAATATTCCCAGTCGCTCGTGCTTCCTGCTTGTGTGGGAACAAGGCTGTGTGGCAGAGCCCGCTGGCCGCCCCGCCACCTGCATACCAACGGGACTGAGGCTGCGACTGCAGCAGAGGACCTAGCATCTCTGCCGCGGTGGAGCGGTGGCAGCAGCTGTGCAGGAGCCCTCGTGGGAGAGTCCCCTCGCCTGAGCCCGTGCCCTCTCTGCAGGGCTCCTGCAAGGGAAGCCAGCACTGCTGGCGGCAGTTCCAGCCCAAGCAGGGTTATCTGCTGGGAGCCAGGAGCACTTGGACCCCTGCCCTTCCCTGGGCGGGCGGGCGGGCTGGCATCCGGCTCCCACAGCCCCGGCACTGCCGGGAGCAGCAGGTTGAAGCCTGTCCACCTCTTGGCTGAGTGATCAGAGTGCCATGGGCCAAGCCAGCCTTGCCTAGGAACAGATAACACTCCGGCCAGCCTGGGACCTTGCTGAGTGTTTCCCTGGCTGGGGACACCTGAGGCTGGCTGCTGGTTCCTTGCTGCCACCCTACTTTTGCACCCTGGACAGGGCTGGCCACCTCCAGAAAGGGCCTCTGTAGTTTCCCAGGGCCTTTCCTCCTGGTGCTGGGGCAGGACATGGGTTAGGAGGGAAAGTGAGTGAGTGAGTGTGTGTGTGTGTGTGTGTAACCCCACCCTCCTGGTCACATCTGGCCACTCCTGCAGATGTGGCTCTGGCCTTGTGGCCGCAGAGTCGTCAGTGTGGCTGGTGGGCAAACCACAGAGGAATGTGCCCGGCAGTGCTGGGGGAAGAAGGGCTCATGGGGAGCATGAAAGATACTATGCTCGGGCTACCTTCCCTCTCCCATCTCCAGTGGGTCCCAGGAGCCATGTTCAGCCGTGAGGGTAGCATGGCCTTGGCCTTCAGCAGGCCTTGTCCCTGCCTTGGGGAGACACTCATTCAGTGCAGGCTCCCTGGAGAGATCCGGGCTCACAGACTGCAGTGGGTGTGGGAGCCTTTCTTAGCTCAGCCCTTAGCCCCCCTCGCGGCTCCCTCTCCACTCCTGATAAGAGATGGCAGTGGGGGCCTGGGCAGAGGCCTGCTCGCGAGGGCAGGGGACACCGGCAGCCATCAGGATGGTGGGGTCTTTCCTTCTGCAGGCCTGGACTGGAGTGGGCCTCCTTGCCACGGGAAAGTCTGCCCAGCTCCCTGTGGCCTCCCTGGGCTGGAGTGGGGAAAGTGAGGGCTGTCTTTGGAGAAAGAAGTGGAAAAGAAACAAGACGGTCTGGCCCTGCCTCTCTCACTTCCTCCTTTCCAGGCAGTGGGTAGCCTGCCTTCCCTTTCCTGCAGGCGTCAGGAGGCTTTGTGGGGTGTGGGCTGGGCTTGGGGCTCCCCGCTGGCGTGGTGTTTGCCCAGTTGCCCTGGCAACCGTAGGGCAGTGGTGGAGAGTGACATTCAGTGACCAGAGGACAGTATACAGGGATCAAGAGGTCGAGACCCATCCTTCCCATAAGCCCATTGGAATCTTTTGCCACTTCCTGGGGCCCCTTGGTCCATGGTCCACATGGGGGCCTGGGCGCAAGGTCTTGGGACCCAGCAGGTCCCTCCACCCCTTTCCCCTTTCCCCGCGGGTTCTCCCTGGGACTGGAGTTCTGAGATCTCTGCCTTGGCTCCAGCCAGCCCCCCCTGCCATTACCCTTCTTCCTGTCTGATTCCCTTTCCTTTCCTGTCTCCTCCTCCCACCTCCTCCCTGCGCCTGCCCGCCCATTCTCTCTCTTTCCCCCCTCCCCCCAGGCACAGCTGCTGTTTGGCTCACTCTATATATAGCGGCATTTTCAGGGTAATTACAATAAAACTGTTGAAAGGAGATAATCCAGCAAAGGAAGCGAGTCTGACTCCCAGCCCCCTCCTGTCCCTGGCTTGGTGCAGCCCTGCACCCCCCCTTTTCCTGCGGCCTCCTGCTCCCACCCCACCCCGTATTCCCATAGCCTCTCCTGCCCGCCCCATCTGCCCTAGCTGAGTGTGGGGCAGAGAAAAGGGGAACGGATAGGGATGCCCAGAGGGTCTCCACAGGCCTCTCCTGGGCTTAGTGAGGTCCCTGGCTGCTAGCCACATTAGTTCTAGAACTAACGTCTGTGCCTCGGTTTCTCCTGTAGTATATAGGCCTCTTGGCAGGGATTGTGTGGTGTTGAGAGGTGGGGGAGGAGGCACAGGAAGGACGGTGGTTAAAAGTATAGGATTTGGAATCACATTTTGGTTCATTGATCACCTGGCTGTATGTCTTTGGTCATGTTACTTACACTTCTCTAAACCTCAGTTTCCTTATCACTAAAGTAATTCACATAAAATGCCCAGTGGCCTTAACTATCAATGACGATATTCTTTGTTGAACACTCGTGATCTTCCAGGTACCCTGCTTTGCTTATGCGTGTTTTCTTTCTTTTTTCTTTTTTTAATAAATTTATTTATTTAATTTTGGCTGTGTTGGGTCTTCGTTGCCACACGCGAGCTTTCTCTAGTTGCAGTGAGCAGGGGCTACTCTTCATTGCGGTGCGGGGGCTTCTCACTGCGGTGGCTTCTCTTGTTGCGGAGCACAGGCTCTAGGCACGCGGGCTTCAGTAGTTGTGGCGCACGGGCTTAGTTGCTCTGCGGCATGTGGGATTTTCCCGGACCAGGGCTCGAACCCGTGTGCCCTGCATCGGCAGGTGGATTCTTAACCACTGCGCCACCAGGGAAGCCCTGCACGTTTTCTTAGTGAAGTTCATGGCTTCAATCTCATTTAATTAAGGCAGAAGGTTGTATCCACAGAGCAGAGGGATTTGACTCCCCCCTCCCCCATTCTCTTTGGGTCTAGTAGTCCTGCCTGGTAGCTTTCTGGGCCCCAGGCCTGGCAGCCAGGGCCCGGTGGGGTCTGGGATGGCCCACTGACCCCTTCCTGTCTCTTCTCTCCGCAGTGGAGGTGAAGCCGGTGCTGCCAGGAGCCATGCCCAGCTCCATGGGGGGCGGGGGAGGAGGCAGCCCCAGCCCCGTGGAGCTGCGGGGTGCGCTGGCAGGCCCCGTGGACCCCGCGCTGCGGGAGCAGCAGCTACAGCAGGAGCTCCTGGCGCTCAAGCAGCAGCAGCAGCTGCAGAAGCAGCTCCTGTTCGCCGAGTTCCAGAAACAGCACGACCACCTGACCCGGCAGCACGAGGTCCAGCTGCAGAAGCACCTCAAGGTGAGCGAGGGAGGGCGCGGGGGTGGGGGCCACCCAGACCTCTGAGCCCCGCCCGGACCCGGCCCACCCAGCCTCGCTCCCCCTGCGCCCCTGCAGCAGCAGCAGGAGATGCTGGCAGCCAAGAGGCAGCAGGAGCTGGAGCAGCAGCGGCAGCGGGAGCAGCAACGGCAGGAGGAGCTGGAGAAGCAGCGGCTGGAGCAGCAGCTGCTCATCCTGCGAAACAAGGAGAAGAGCAAAGAGAGTAAGGCCTGGGGCCGCCCAGGGCCAGCTGGGACTCCTGCCCCGCCCCACGCCTCCCAGCTGCGGGGGCCTGGCCCCAAGCTCCCGGGTCAGCTGTGCCCTGTCCCGCAGGTGCCATCGCCAGCACTGAGGTGAAGCTGAGGCTCCAGGAATTCCTCCTGTCGAAGTCAAAGGAGCCCACACCAGGCGGCCTCAACCATTCCCTCCCACAGCATCCCAAATGCTGGTAATGGCCCTTGGCAGGCATGGGTTGCACAGGTGTCCTGCTCAGGGGCTGCTTGGCTGCAGGATGGCAAGGGGCTCCCGGCCTGAAGCCACATAGGGGCCCTGTAATCTCTCCTAGGAGACGAGACTCCCACCCCCGTTTGTCTCCTCGCTGCCCTCCCCAGGATCCATTTCCTATCTCCGTACGCAGCGGATGTTTCATAAATGTAGATTGCTTGGTGGCCGGTCCAGCTGCCTGGCTGATAACCTACATCTGTTTCCATCCCCTCCCTCCGCCCTGCAGGGGAGCCCACCATGCTTCTTTGGACCAGAGTTCCCCTCCCCAGAGCGGCCCCCCTGGGACGCCTCCCTCCTACAAACTGCCTTTGCTTGGGCCCTACGACAGCCGCGATGACTTCCCCCTCCGCAAAACAGGTGAGTGAGTACAACCTGGCCTCCCAGGATATGGGGGGCGGGCAGAGGTGGGAATGTGGAGGGGCCAGGCTAGGCCGCAGGTGTGCCCGTTTGTGTGCGTGTGTGTGAGCCCCGGCTGCCTTCTCCCCAGCCTCCGAACCCAACTTAAAAGTACGTTCGAGGCTAAAGCAGAAGGTGGCCGAGCGGAGAAGCAGCCCCCTCCTGCGCCGCAAGGACGGGACTGTCATTAGCACCTTTAAGAAGAGAGCTGTTGAGATCACAGGTGCCGGGCCTGGAGGTAAGGGCTCCTCTCCTGTCCCTGTTCTGAGGGCCGGGGGGGTGGGGGGTGGCTCCGAGCAGGCCCAGGTGACAGTCACTTCTCCCGCAGCGGCAGCCGTGTGTAACAGCGCGCCAGGCTCCGGCCCCAGCTCTCCTAACAGCTCCCACAGCACCATCGCCGAGAATGGCTTTACTGGCTCAGTCCCCAACATCCCCACCGAGGTACAGGCCTGCCAAGGGCTGGGCGGGTGGGCCAGAGCTGCTTTCTGTCCCGTCCGGTCTGTCTGGCTGAGCGTGCCCAGCAGGGACCCCTCTGCCTGCGTGGACAGGCTAGAGGGACCTATTGCCCCGAAGTGGGATCTGTCCCACGGGCCTCTGAATGGCTCTTATCTCTCAGTCCCCCCAAGGTGGGGCTTGGTGCAGGAAGCGGGGCGCCATTCAGAGCCCTCAGCCTTGGCCCCAGGTGGCCCCCCTTTGCCTGCTCTCATGCTTATCTCTCCCAACTGCTCCCCAGATGCTCCCCCAGCACCGGGCCCTCCCTCTGGACAGCTCCCCCAACCAGTTCAGCCTCTACACGTCTCCCTCTCTGCCCAACATCTCCCTAGGGCTGCAGGCCACGGTCACCGTCACCAACTCGCACCTCACCGTAAGTACGGGGCACATACCCTGTCCTCCCTCTGGTGTTGAGGTCTTCGGTCCTGGATGCCCCTGGCTGGGGCTGTTGTCCTCCCAGGGTCCTGATGGAGATCAGATGGCCCTCCCCCAGAGCTGGGGGTGGGGCAGAGGGTAGGTGAGGGATGCTGGTCCAAAGTCGGCAGGACTGGGAGCAGTAGAAACCCCTCCCTCATCTCCATCTCCTCTCCCCAGGCCTCCCCGAAGCTTTCGACGCAGCAGGAGGCCGAGAGGCAGGCCCTCCAGTCCCTGCGGCAGGGTGGTGCACTGACGGGCAAGTTCATGAGCACATCCTCTATCCCCGGCTGCCTGCTGGGCGTGGCACTGGAGGGCGACACCAGCCCCCACGGGCATGCCTCCCTGCTGCAGCATGTGCTGCTGCTGGAGCAGGCCCGGCAGCAGAGCACCCTCATTGCTGGTGAGTGGGCGGGCAGCTGTCCAAGGAGGGGATGTCAGGGGCCCCCCCCCCCATTCTGAGGGCTCAAGGAGGGACCAACTGCCAGGGGTCCCAGGGGGGGGTGTCAGGGGCCCCCCCCCCCATTCTGAGGGCTCAAGGAGGGACCAACTGCCAGGGAGAAGTAGCCGGGGATACTCACCAGCCCTGTCACAGCTCCCCTCCACGGCCTCATTGATTTCTTCCATATTCTACAGACGTTATTGAGTACCTACAGCCGGCCAGGCACTGTTCCCGAGCTTTGCCGTCGTAATGGAGCTCACATTCCAGAGCAGTGCTGTCCAGTAGAAATATAATGCAAGCCATATGTGTACTTTAAAGTGTCCTAGTGGCCACGTTAAAAAATGTAAAAAGGAACAGGTGAAATTAGTTTTAATAACATATACTTAACTCAGCATATCTAGGATACTATCATTTGAACATAAAATGAATGTAAAGAGTTAGCAATGAAATATTTCACTTTGTTTCATACCGTCTTTGAAATCTGGTGCGTATTTCACACTAAGAGCACATCTCAGTTGAGACAGGCCATGTTTCAAGTGCTCAGTGGTCACGTGTGTCTGGTAGCTATGGAATTGGACAGCGCGGCCTTGGACAGTCAGCCCATAAGTAGCTGGTGGCATCAGAAGAGGTTCTGCTTAAAAGACACGTGACCCTGGCCTCCAGGCTTCCCAGCTGGGTGGGATCCACGTCCATGATCAGGGAGGTCTTGCATTTGGGGAGAACTAGTCATTGTTCATGCACATGGAGGGCCCGAGACTACGTGCTCGTAAGTGAATCCAGGACGTTTTGCCGGAGGTGGTGGCTCTGAGCTGCGAGACTGTTGTGGGGAGGAGGAAGAATGGGGCTGAGGTTTGGGGGCAGGGTGCTCCAGGCCCCTCGCGGGTTTCTCCTGAGTATGGAGGCGGCGCTGTTCCAGAAGGGGGAGAGTCTCGGGGTGGGAGTGGGGGCCTGGTGCCCTGACAGTGATGGTTACTTCCCTCCCCCCACCACCTCCGCAGTGCCACTCCACGGGCAGTCCCCGCTGGTGACGGGTGAGCGCGTGGCCACCAGCATGCGGACGGTGGGCAAGCTCCCTCGGCACCGGCCCCTGAGCCGCACTCAGTCCTCGCCGCTGCCCCAGAGCCCCCAGGCCCTGCAGCAGCTGGTCATGCAGCAGCAGCACCAGCAGTTCCTAGAGAAGCAGAAGCAGCAGCAGCTGCAGCTGGGCAAGGTGAGCGGGAGAAGCAAACATGTGGGGCCGCGCTGGGGTCAGGACACAGAGGGTGCCGGGCTGGCAGGGGGCTGGCAGCGGGCTGACACCCAGGCCACTCCCCAGGCTGCATCAGAGGAGCCGCCTTGCCTTTTTCTAATTCACATCAAAGGTCTGTATGGGCTGGGCCGCTGTCTGCCGGGGAAAGAGAGGAGGGAAGGATAGAACCTCCTGGGCCACAGGCTGCACAGCTGCGCCCCCTCCCAGCTGACGTGCCTCCTTGCTCTGCTCCTAGATCCTCACCAAGACTGGGGAGCTGCCACGGCAGCCCACCACCCACCCCGAGGAGACAGAGGAGGAGCTGACAGAGCAGCAGGAGGCCTTCCTGGGGGAGGGGGCCCTGGCCATACCCCGAGAAGGCTCCACGGAGAGTGAGAGCACACAGGAAGACCTGGAGGAGGAGGAGGAGGAGGACTGCATCCAGGTCAAGGATGAGGAGGGCGAGAGTGGTGCTGAGGAGGGGCCCGACTTGGAGGAGTCCAGTGCTGGTTACAAAAAGGTGCCCCCTCCAAGGAAAAGAAGGAGGAGGAGGAGGAGGAGGAGGAGGAGGAGGACTGCATCCAGGTCAAGGATGAGGAGGGCGAGAGTGGTGCTGAGGAGGGGCCCGACTTGGAGGAGTCCAGTGCTGGTTACAAAAAGGTGCCCCCTCCGCCCCAGCCCTTGATCACCACCCCTGCGTCCTCCCCGCTATCTTTCCATCTTTGCCCTTCCCTCTCCCCAGTCTGCAGTTTCCAGGCTGTGCAGGAACAACTTTTTAAGAGTGAAAGGGGAGCAGGGAAGAGACAAGGGGCTGTGGAAGGGAGGGAGCTGCTTGTGTCAGTCTCAGAGCTGTCTGTGCCCCGTCTGCCAGCCCCTCCCTGCGTCTGTGACTGCCCCCGCCTGTCTGCTTCTGTGTGTGTGTGTGTGCGCGCGCGCGTGCACGTGTGCACGCGGTCTGTGTATATCTGCGTTTCTGCCTGCGTAGGGCCGGTTGTGCGTCGGTCTCTGCGTGCGTGTGTACACACACGCCCCCGCTGTTACTACAGTCTGCCCTGGTGCCTAGCACGCACTCCATTCATTGCGGACACAGCTGAGCCCTCCGGGCCTGACTCATCCCACCCCCTCTCACACCCCCGTCCCTCCCAGCCTCTTACCTCAATGCTACTCCGGTAGCATGACTCATCATGCCCCCCCCCACCCCCCATCTCGCCCCATCTCCTCGGAGATGGAGATGAAGATGGCTAAGGCTGGAGTGTCTCCTGTCCCTGGAGGGAGGGGGGTGGGGGGAGGAGGCGATACAGGAGAGAAGGGCTGGATTCAGGCCCCCACCCGCTGGGAGGCCACCTGTCCTCGCTTCCATTACGGACTAAGCGTCATCCAGGCTGCCTCCCGCTCTCCTTCCCAGGTGTTTGCAGATGCCCAGCAGCTGCAGCCTCTGCAGGTGTACCAGGCGCCCCTCAGCCTGGCCACTGTGCCTCATCAGGCCCTGGGCCGCACCCAGTCCTCACCTGCCGCCCCTGGGGGCATGAAGAGCCCCCCGGACCAGCCCACCAAGCACCTCTTCACCACAGGTGAGCCCCGCGCCCGCACGAGCTGTCCTCACATTGTCTGCCAGGGGGCCTGTGCATGGCATCCAGCCTTGGGCATCGTGAAGAGATAAGATACAGCCCCTGCCCTGGAGAGATGGCCAGGGCCCCTCAGAGCATCCCAAAGGGAGGGAAAACAGGCCTTGGCCCCCTCCCTCTGCACCACAGCCACCTGTGGTAGTGGTGGCAGCCTCTGCCTCAGTGGGAGGGCGGTGAGTGTCCCTACCCACTGGGGCAGCGTCTTCTTTCAGGGGCCCACCCCGCCACTGCTGAGGGACCACCAGTTTTGCGCCCTCGCCACACAAGCCCTGGAGGCCTAGGTGGAGGGAGCCCGCTGTCTCAGTTTGGTCCTGATGTTCTAGCTCCCTCTCTGCCCTGTGAGGTTGAATGTGAGGCCTCAGTCCATTCCGGAAGGCTCTTCCATGTGAAACTGCCCTGTGCTGGGCTCTGAGGGGGCACAGATGCTTGAGGACGGTCCCGACTCACCAGCGGGGTGTGTTGCGGGGTAGAGGGGCAGCACACCCGGGCTGTGACAGGAGGGGGAAAGGAGGATGTGCCATGAGGTCAAAACCGATGGGGGTGTCAAGGGCAGCCTGCTGGAGGCTTGAGGAGCAGGGAGGCTTTTGACACGTGGTGATGGGGGAAAGGAATTTCATGAAAAGAGGGGCAGGTGTGTGGGAGGGCGGCTGGGGTGCCTGTGAGGAGGTGCTGGGACCAGGGTGGGCTGGGGAAAAGCTCAGTGAGCTCTGCTGAGGATGGCGGGGGCCAGGCTGTCACATGGCCCAGAGCGGTGCTGGCTGACAGGTGTGTCTCTGGCCCAGGTGTGGTCTATGACACGTTCATGCTGAAGCACCAGTGCATGTGCGGCAACACACACGTGCACCCCGAGCACGCTGGCCGGATCCAGAGCATCTGGTCTCGGCTGCAGGAGACAGGCCTGCTCAGCAAGTGTGAGGTAAGGCAGCCCCTCCTTCCAGCTTCCACCTCAAACCCAGCGAAAGCCTTTGTGTTTCCCCTATCGGGGAAGCCTCTGTCTGGGTCTCTTCCTCATTCTCTCTTCAACCCCTGACTTCAGGGCCAGGCCCCCCAGGCACCTCCCAGTTCCATCCCTTGTAGCCTGGTTCCCCCATGGTCCCCAGCTGAATGGGGACCCTGGGGGACCGGGGCGTACTTTCTCAACAACCTTTGATCTCCTGAGGCTAGAAAGTGGCTCCATGTGCCCCAGGCTGTGGGGCAGAGAGAGGGGCTGGGCCTTGGGGGAGCTGGGTCTGCGGTGCCATCCCTCTCACCGGCCCCTCTTCCTGCTCTCCCCTGGCAGCGGATCCGGGGTCGCAAAGCCACGCTGGACGAGATCCAGACGGTGCACTCCGAATACCACACCCTGCTCTATGGGACCAGCCCCCTCAACCGACAGAAGCTGGACAGCAAGAAGCTGCTCGGTGAGCTGGCCGGCCGATGGGGGGGGCGTGGGCCAGGCCAGGTCTTCTGCCCCGGGGGGACTGGGGTAGGCAGGTGGGTTCCCGTGGGCGCAGTTGCTACATTGCACGCCTCCAGAGGGCGCCATTCACACAGACTACAACATGCTGGTGGGATGTGTGCAGGAGGATGGAAGGTGACAGGTCAGGCCTGGTGATGGGCTTTGCCCTTCTCCCTAACCTGTCAGGCCCCTTTTTCTCCCTGCCATTTGCCCCAGAGGTAGGATGCCCCCCCCAGGACGGGGGACAGACATCTCCCAGCTGGCATGGGCTGCAGAGGCCTGGCGTGTGCTGGGGCCTGGCCTTCTTTTTCTGTGATTGAGTTTACTGCCCTCTGCACACCCCAGCCTGCGGCTTTGGCAGTTGAGGCAACTTCCAGAGCAGCCCTGTTCCTCTTCCCTGCAGGCCCCATCAGCCAGAAGATGTACGCCATGCTGCCTTGTGGGGGCATCGGGGTGAGTAGGGCACCTGCCAGTGGGGATGGGTGGGTGGTGCCCCCAGCTCCAGCCCCTCCCTTCCTGCCCACCACAGCTGCACCCCCATTCTCGCCCTCCCCCTGCAGGGGGCACGCTGAAGCCTGCTCTCCTGCCCCCGCAGGTGGACAGTGACACCGTGTGGAATGAGATGCACTCCTCCAGTGCCGTGCGCATGGCGGTGGGCTGCCTGGTGGAGCTGGCTTTCAAGGTGGCGACGGGGGAGCTCAAGGTGAGTGTGTGTGGGGCCTTGGTCCTGTTGCCTCAGGAGCAGGGGATGGGGGCAGCCGTGGCTTTCCTGTCAGTAAGGCACCATCCTCTGTAATCTCAACTCTCAGGTGCAGGCGCGGGGAGGAGGTGCCAGCTCCAGGCCAGCTGGGGGGGTGAGGGGTAAAGAGGGACTGACCAAGAGGCACTAAGGTCTGTGGTGTCATGGGTCTCACGTGGCCCTCTGGCTAGCGTTCCTAAAGGTTGTGGGATTGATGCTCATGACGTATGTTCTCGTCCTGGCTTATGCTTCTCTCCTTCTGTGTCCACCCACTTCATGGCCACCTTGCCCACCTGTCTGCCTCTTGTTTCTGTCCCTCCGTCTATACCTCTCCAGAATGGTTTTGCCATCATCCGGCCCCCAGGACACCACGCGGAGGAATCCACAGCCATGTGAGTGCCACCGCAGCCCTGCCCCAGACCCAGTGCCCTCACACCACCTCCCTCCCAGCAGAGCTGATGCGCGAGTATCTGTGAGCAAACACCCACTAAGGCTGACGAGCTGCCCCCTTCTCCGCTCACCCCCGCAGGGGATTCTGCTTCTTCAACTCTGTAGCCATCACGACCAAACTCCTGCAGCAGAAGCTGAATGTGGGCAAGGTTCTCATCGTGGACTGGGTAGGCAGTGGGCTGCTGGGACCAGGGTCAGCCTTCAGGAAGCCTCCACCCCAGCCCCACGCCCTCGTCCTCAGGTGCCCGTGCTGGGGCTGTTAGCCCAGCCTTCACAGTCCCATGGGGCCCCCCTCCTCACTAGTGGAGACTCGAAATGCTTTTAGCCCCTGGTCCACCTTGGCCCCCAGCCCGCAGCCTTGAGCAGCCGAGGAGATTTTCTGCCTTGAGTGGTAGAGACAGCTCCTGCCGTTGCTAGAGTCCCTCTTAACTGGGGGCTGACTGTGTGCCAGACACGTGGTGCTGCTTAGTGGCCGCCTTGCTTCCTAAGTAGTAGGATGTCCATGTTGATAAACAGCGACACTGGGCTGTTGGGGGACTTACGCAGCCAAGGTTACCTAGCTTGGGACGTTGGGTACTGGGTTTCAGATCAGGCCTGTGGGCTCCGGCGTTTCTGCTCCAGCTGCCACGCCGTGCTTCTCCGCCCCTGCCTCTCACAGCAGAGGGAAAGGCCCCTACCGCTCCCTGTGAGGAGCAAGCCTCAGCAAGGAGGGATCTAATCTCTTCGAAGCCCAGCTTGCGCTTCAGAGTTCACGACGTTGGGCTCTCCTTCAGAATGCGTCTGTTTGCTTTCAATTCCTGACTAGCCGTACTGTTTCCCTCCACACTGCTGAGCAGAGTGGGCTCGCAGGGAGATCCACCACATTCGTCCCCTGGCTTTGTGTCTCCTCTGTGCAGTACCATGTCCCGGCCCGCAGACCCTGGTTAGAAAAGCGTGGGGTGATTCCGTGGCGGACAGAACACAGATGCCCTGTAGCTAGTGGTGGGCTGCACCCCCAGAGTCCACCGCAGGGTCGGGGTGGGCCAAGCAGAATTTTGCCCTTTGGGTCAGACCCCGATGCTCCCACCCCTTCCCACTAGGACATTCACCACGGCAATGGCACCCAGCAAGCATTCTACAACGACCCCTCCGTGCTCTACGTCTCCCTGCATCGCTATGACAATGGGAACTTCTTTCCGGGCTCTGGGGCTCCTGAAGAGGTACAGCTCCTGGGCTCAAATGTGGGGCCCTCGGGGAGATAGCAGAATGGGACCTGGCAGGGAGCCATGGAGGCCCGTGGTGGTGCTGGTACCTGGGGAGTCTGGGCTCCTAGTGGGAGGACCACGCCAGCCAACTGCCCCTCCATGCAGAACAGAGGTCAGTGGAGTGAGGGCTGGAGGCAGGGCTGAGGGCGGGGCAACGTCTGGGATCCCCAGGCAGTGAGAGTAACCCCTCCCCCACGGTGCTCCTAGGTTGGCGGAGGGCCGGGCGTGGGGTACAATGTGAACGTGGCATGGACGGGAGGTGTGGATCCCCCCATCGGAGACGTGGAGTACCTAACGGCCTTCAGGTGGGGACTGAGAAGAGCCGAGGGAGGGGTGGGAACCCCCGGGCCCTGCCGTGGGAGGGGCAGAAGGCACTCAGTTCCACATGGGTGGAGGGGGTCGGCTCTGTGGGGGGCAGAGCCGGGGGGGGGGGGAGCGGGGAGCTTGGGAGCCGCGGAGGACAGCACAGCCACAGGGGCGCGGAGGGCAAAGCGGGGAGATTCGGGGGGGGGGGGGGGGGGGGCGGGGGGGGGGGGGGGGGGGGGGGGGGGGGGGGGGGGCGAAGGCCTGGCCGAGCCACCTGCCAGGGTCAGCTTGGGCCCTCCCTTTGCAGGACAGTGGTGATGCCCATTGCCCACGAGTTCTCACCTGACGTGGTCCTGGTCTCCGCCGGGTTTGATGCTGTCGAGGGACACCTGTCTCCGCTGGGTGGCTACTCTGTCACCGCCAGATGTGAGCCTGTGGGGGGATCGAGGGAGGCTATGGAGCAGTGAAGATGGGGTCGAGTGTGAGGTTGGGAGGAGGGTTGAAGGCAGGTCTAAGACTTGGAATCATCCTGGCAGCATCCTCCCACTCTCCCTCTGCCAACCCTGGCCTTGAGGGGCAAGCAGGTGGGGGGGGGGAGCATCTCCTCCAGGAGTTGTAGGGATGGAGCTCGCTGATCCCTCATGTTTCAGCGGTGGTTTTTCATGGTGCTCCTTAGGAGACGTGTAATTGGATCTTTTTAGCCTCTTACGTTTTGTCTTTTATGGAGCATTTAGTCCACTGACACTGAATTTTGTTATGGATGTCTATTTGGGTTTAAATCCACCCTCTTCTTTCGTGCTCTCTGTCCCATCTCTTGTTTCTTCCTCTCTCCTTTCTTGCTTTTTCCTGGATTGAGTTTTTTCTCTAACCGCTTCCTCTTCCCCCTTCCCCCGCGTCCCTAAAGGTTTCGGCCACTTGACCAGGCAGCTGATGACGCTGGCAGGGGGCCGGGTGGTGCTGGCCCTCGAGGGAGGCCATGACTTGACCGCCATCTGTGATGCCTCTGAGGCCTGTGTCTCCGCTCTGCTCAGCGTGGAGGTGAGGGGTGCACAGGGGGACTGGGGGAGGTGGGCCAGTAGGCCAGGGGGGAAGGGGCCAGCGAGGGAGGGTCCCTTTCCTGGGTCAGGCAGCACCGAGGGCCCTTGGGGAGGTTTTCCTGATTCCTGAGGACAGGTGGTGGCCAGGGAAGGCTTTCTAAATAGACGTTTCCCCAGAAAGGCTGTGCTTGCCCCTGTCATGGGGCTGAACGGCGGGATGGTTAGAGGGGCAGCCACTCTAAGCCTTCTCTTCTTTCCCCTGCCAGCTGCAGCCCTTGGACGAGGCAGTCTTGCAACAAAAGCCCAACGTCAACGCAGTGGCCACGCTAGAGAAAGTCATCGAGATCCAGAGTGCGTGGGCACAGGCAGAGGGACTCGGGGCCCAGCTTGCCAAGGGGGCGGAGCTTGTGTGACGCCAGGGCTAGGGCTGGGGGTGTCCGTACGTTTGGGGGTTTCTGGCTCTCCCTGACCCCCGGCCCATCCCTCATCCACAGGCAAACACTGGAGCTGTGTGCAGAGGTTCGCTGCTGGTCTAGGCCGTTCCCTGCGGGAGGCCCAGGCCGGTGAGACAGAGGAGGCTGAGACTGTGAGCGCCATGGCCTTGCTGTCGGTGGGGGCCGAGCAGGCCCAGGCTGCTGCAGGCCGGGAGCACAGCCCCAGGTGAGGTGCCCCCCACCTCCCTGCCCTTGCCCAGACTGCTCCCCCCCATCCCACATTGCTTCAGTGCCCTTCCCTGTGCTTGTGCCCACAGGCCGGCAGAGGAGCCCATGGAGCAGGAACCTGCCCTGTGACGCCCTGGCCCCCACCCCTCTGGGCTTCATCATTGTGATTTTGTTTATTTTTTCTATTAAAAGACAAAAAGTCACACATTCAACAACGTGTGCCGTGTGGGTCTCTCAGCCTTGCCCCTCCTGCTCTGCTAAGCTGCCTCAGGCCCCCCCTTTCCCCTGCCCCCCGTGGCCCATGTCTCAGCTCTAGAAGTTTGCGCCCTCTGTAGGGCCAGGGGTACCCTTTCCAGCCCTTCCCTCACGTTCTATCCCACACCCACTTCCTGCATTCTGTCTTTGTCCCCCTTGGAGCTTGGGCCAGCTCAACGTGGGCCTGGGGCCCAGATAGCACCTTCCGGTTCTGGGGTACCCCTGAGTGAGGAGGGAACAGTAAGTTTGGTGCCTTGGCTTCAGCTGACTTAGGGGGAAATGCCTTAATTTCACCCCCCTCCCCTCTCCAGCCCCAGGGGAGGATCTGGAGGGTCCCTCTACAGTCTTAAGATGTAGAGCGGAGGGGAGGTGGGCTCCCGCCCTGCGATTCTCACTCTTTCCCCTCTCCAGCCCCAGGGGAGGATCTGGAGGGTCCCTCTACAGTCTTAAGATGTAGAGTGGAGGGGAGGTGGGCCCCCGCCCTGCGATTCTCTCTTTCCCCCCAGTGTCCTCACCATCTCCACACAGACCCCTCTCTCCTCCTCCTCTCTCCTGGCCTCAGCACCGAAGGGAAGCTTTGTGCTCTCGGATGTGGGCCTGAGGTCTGTGGGCAGGGCTGTCTTGCCTTACCCTCCTCAAGGCCTATTTCCCCTTCTCAGGGGCTGGAGAGGGTGAAAGCGTGTGGGGAGGTTTGGAGCTGCACTCCTGGGTTCTGAGGGGCCAAGAGGAGGCGCAGAACCAGGCCTGCTTTCCATCTTACTCTGTCGGCCTCCCTGCCCCTCTGCTGGCACAGTCTGGGGAGCGGGGACAAGGTGGTCCCTGCAGGGGGGCTCCAGGCTGGTGAGAGCCCCCCTGCTGTTCAGGACCAGATTTCCCCAGCCATCCAGCATGCTGCAAGCAGAAGGGCCAGTGGCCCACCTCTCTCCTGGGGCCTTTGGCTTTGAAGCCTGGGGGTGGTGAGTGGGAGTTCTAGAAGGGGCAGGGCCAGAACCCAGGAGTCTGCCCTCAGCTGTGCCTTGCCTTCCTCCTGGGCTTCCTTTGTGGGCCACCAGCCTAAGGTAACTGAGACCAGGATGGGGCTGGGCACTGCCCTTTCTCTTACCCAGAAGCCCTGCTGGCCTGCTTGTTTCCAGGGCTAGGAGCCCACAAGGCTTCTAGCGAATGCTCTCCAGCCTGTGGGAAACCAAAGATGGGAAGCAGCTCCTAGGGGGCTGAGTCCTCCTCGCTCCTTATCCCCAGCACCAACACCGCATATACTTTCTTTCCTCCCGTCCCCAGGGCTCCACCAATCTGTTTACATATTTATTATCCTAATGGGGGCCTGAGCAGGGTTGAGGGAGCCAGGGGAGGGGCAGGAGTCCCACCACCATTGGTTCATTGTGCGCTTGTGTCTTGTGCGTTGTTAAGTGTGTTCTAGATCCTCCTGGGGGATGGGGATGGGGCTGGGCCCAGGGTACCAGGCCGCCCCATGCTGAGCCCCAACTCCAGGCCGCTTACCCTCCCTCTCCCCACGGCCGGTCTGGTTCTCATGTAAACCCACTCCTTGCTTTGTCTCCTTGGACATGGATTTCAGTTAAGTATTTTGTAACCTGTTACACTGTGAGTCCTTGTGTAAATAAACTTGTTTCTGGCAGTGCCTTCTGGGGCCAATGTCTCTGTTCTCTGGGCTCTCAAATGGAGTTGAGGGTCTCATTCCCCCTCCTGGCCAAAAAAAAACTACTCTTCTTTTCTCCAGCCCCTGGACTAGCCAATTTAGGAAACAAGAGGCTGGGGTGGGAGGGAGTGGGATCTCTGTCCTGTGGGTTAAGAACAAGGTTTCACTGAACGTAGCCACAGCATCTCCTGGAACCTCTGTGGCCTACGTGGTGATGGTGGGGAGGGGGCCCGGGGCTGAAGGTCTCCCTGTTCCTTCTGACTCTCAGTCTCTGGGGGCACAGGGTTGAAGCGGGTGCAGAACAGGTGGCCTGGCAAGGGTTCCACCTGCGGCCACACAGGCAAGTCCAGTGGAGATGTGCACAGAGTCAAGAGAGGAGTCCAGAGGTGTGGAAGGGCTTTATTGGGGCTGCTCTGAGCCCCTCACAGTGTTACAGGAACCCACTTGTCTCGCTGTTGCCTTTGCCCTTTGGGGACTTGGGAGGGAAGGCAGGAGTAGGACCAGCCTTCCTGGGAGAGAGAAGGCCCTCCTTTGGGGCTGAGACCAGGTGGTGGGAGAATTAGAAAATTCACCACGAGCAGGGCCTGCTGGGGGCTGGAAGGGGACGGGGCTGCCTCCCCGGAGTGTGGAGGTCACGGAGCGTGTGGGCTTTGTGAGAGGGAAAGTGACAGCAGGAGGCACCTAGGGTCAGGAGGAGCGGATGGGTGGTGCTTCCTGGGCACTGAATGTGTGCACCAGCCAGGGCACGAGGGCCAGGACCAGGCATGGCCAGAGGGTGTGCTTGAGGAAATTGAAGATGTAGAAAAGGCTGATCTGAGGGGGGTAGCCCAGCCAGTCCAGGGGGCCCAGCAGCCCCATGGCCAACGCAAGGCAGGCTAGCTTCTGGCCGTGTCCCAGGTATGCCCGCCGCACCTGGGCATAGCAGGGGGAGTGAAGGGCGATGCCCAGACCCAGGGCGGCCCCTGAGTCGCGGCTCAGAGAGGCAAAGGGCCGGCTGTCCAAGTGCACCCACTCAGGCCGTTCACACCACTTAGAGGCTAGGTTGATGGACCTGTGGGGAGCGAGAGTCTTTGCCAGGAGAGAGGTTCCCCTGGGTCCTAGAGGGCTGGTGGCTCTCCACCCCTTTGGGGCCTACCGCCATGTTCTGCCGTGACCCGAGGAGACTCAATGTTTATGAACAGCTAATGTGTCCCGTTTTAGCTACAACCAACCAGAGACCCACCAGGCCAGGTACAGGTGAGGCAGGACAGACCCCAACTTACCCAAGCTTCAAAGCAGGACTTACCAAGAAAGATCCAGGCCCAGTGTAAAGAGGGTCCAATAGATGAGGCTGGCACCCAGCAAGAGGGCCAGTGAGGTCAACCCGTAGAAGCTTAGCTCCCGCTCCGTGGGCACCCGGGGGGTCATCAGCCAGCCCAGGACAGCACCTAGGGAAGTGGGGTGACAGCAGCTTCAAGGAGTTTTGGGATATGACCCCCCACCCCGGGCCGCAGGGTAGCTTGGCAGGAGAAGGGGGGCCTTGGGGTTGGCTGTACAATGGGAAGATCGTACACTGGTCCTCCCACTGCCAACGGCACCCTCTGGGTCCACCCTGTTGCCCCAGTTGCTCACCAGTTATTAGGCCAGCCAACACCTGGTGAGGGAAATGTGCTAAGAGGAAGACCCGGGACAAGCCGACCGCCAGCAGGAAGGTGCAATAAGCCAAGCTAGGTATCACCCTCACCCAGCGGCTAAAAAGAAGAGAGGCAAATGGTTCAGGAGGTGTCCACGCACAGCTGGGCTTCCCTCAGCACCCAGGCACCTCACAGTTTGACCAGATGCCCCGGGGTCTGCAGAACTCCAGCTCCCAGGCTGCCCTGCTGCTGGGTCTTTTGGGTCCAGGGTACCATCACCTCTGCCCCTGTTGGTGGGCAATGCCAAGGTGTACCTGTGGGTCCGAGTGGCCACTTGGGAAGAGATGGCCGTCATTATGGGCCAAAGGGCTGCTCCTGTGATCATACAGTGTCCGGAAGGGCTGCCTGCCAGGGGATTCAGAAGCTTGTGGTGAGAGGATGCTGGTGGAACCTAGGTGCCCCTGGTGATTGCTCAACACAGCTGCCTCCCCGTGGCCGAGGGGAGAGCCTTCCTCCGGCACTGACCCTTAGCTCCCTCTGCCCTGAAGCCTTCTTCGTCCCCGCCTGAGGCCACTGCTCTCAGGCTTCTGCCTTGACCTCGGCTCTTGGCTTTATACAAGGTGGACACAGCTGGAACACTGGCACGGGTGCTCTTCTCCTATAATCCAACATGGTCTTCCCTGGGTTTCTTTGTTCTCTGGCCCAGTAACTGAGAGGCTGGGCCTCTGATTAGGTTGCCCCAGCTGAAAAGTACCACCAAACACTCACTGAACCCTAACCACATTGGGAGAGGGAAGTTTGGGGCTTCTCACCTGGACCAGTTTCACAAGAAGAGGGGAACTGGTGAACCTGGGCTGGAGCCTGGCTGTAGTACCCAGACTCATGGACCCACCAAAAGGGCCTGTCTCCAAACAGAAACCTAGAAGAGAACAGATGCAAGATGCCATTACACGCACACACAGCCAGGGGAGCCGGGGGTGAGGCAGAAGGTCGCCTGGAGTACTCTGGAGGGCTTACAGGCTGAAGTCAGAAAGGGTGTCCAATTCTATGCCATTGCCTTGCCAGGGTTTTTTACCTTGGAACAGGAGAAAGCATGCTATTTTTTTTTAAAGTGATAAGGAGGCAAGAGATTGTGGTGTGTGCATGTGTGTGCTCTGAGATGCTCAGAAGTCCCATTCTTAGCCCTCCCGCTGCAGGGCCAGCTCTGCTCTTGCCATCTATACAGAACCCAGGACCTGCCCCTCACCCTCCCTCCCCAGACCCTCACTGACCCTCCTGCTTCCCCTCTCTCCATTTCCCAAATTCCAGCCTGAGTTACTTAGGTAAGCCTCTCGTCTTTGAAAATGGGAGTGGGGAATGGACAAGGAGGCTGAGAGAGAATAAGGAAGACAAAAAAGTTCAAAATCCACTGGCTTAGCCAGGTGCTTCACTGGACCCTGGGAAACACACTGCAGAGGCTGCTGTGGCCAGAAAGAGAAAAGGTGGGAGAGCAGAAGAGATGCTGGCAGGAAGCCAAGTGCTGGGGAGGGAGGTGCAGAAGGGACTTGCCTCTCTCCGCCAAAAAGTGAGCCTGGATCACGCACCAGATGCTCAACACACACTTAGGAAATGAATAGGGGCTCTGCCATGTGGGGGGCATTAAGATTGTCTACCCAACGGGGTGGTCTTAGGGGAACAGGACTAGAGAGGAAGGCTTATACAGACTCTGAGGAAGGAGAGCACAAAGCAAAGAGCAATTCAGTAGGAAGGAAATGATCAGACAATTGCTTTCCGTTTACAGCAGGGATGAAGCCCTGGCTGAGAAGAGTGGAAGGGAAGGTATTTTGTTTTTCAGCAAGTCATTCCAGCCCATCCATTCAAGTGTCTCCTGTGAACCTCCCTTCCCTCCCCCAGGCTGGCAATCTGGCAACAGAGACAGCGGTGAGGGAAGGTGCAGCTGCATGCCCAGCGGGAAGTATAGCTCCCTTCTGCACCCAAGAGAGAACAGGTGGCACAAAGAGATACACCCCAAGGGCCCCACCCACTTGCCTGGGGTTCCTGGCTTCTAAGTCTGTGTGCAGAGCCTACTAGTGAATGAAGGGGAAAAGGGAGAAGAGAAAGTGTTCCCTGGATGGCAATGCTTTAGCCCAGTGCTTTTTGAAATTTACTGTGCACACAAATTGCCTGGGGTCCTTACTAAAATGCAGATTCTGATTCAGTAGCTCTGGCGTGGGGCCTGAGATTCTGCATTTCTAGCAAGTTTTCAAATGCTCCTTATGCTGCTGGCCATGGTCTGGGGGACCACACCTTAATCGGCAAGCCTTTTCTGTCCTTAGCCGCTAGTGTGAAGCCTGGCACAAAGCATTCTTCTTAAAAACTATGTCAAATAAACGAATGAATAAATGAATCAAAGAGTGAGTTGAGAAGCAGGACTTTCTGCTACTTAAGCCACCACAGATGCCTGTTAAAATACAGATTCCTAGCCCCTCCCCTGGAGTTTCAAAATCAGTCTGTCTGAGGTGGAATGGGGTATTTGCATTTTAAATACGCCCCCTTAGGTGATTTCTCTGATCAGGCCCGTTAAACACTAGTTTAATGATTAGGATGGGGACTCTGAGGTCCAAGATGCACAAAGATGCTCATAGGGGAAAAGTCAGTGGCCACGGGGTAGGGGTGGGAGGTCTTAAGGCCATGGGTTCACTGTCGGGGGTGTGGGGGGGAAGCCAGGCCTTTGAGGCAGCTGACGAGAGAGATCAAGGACTGCACAGGGCTCAGGGCCTTTGCGGGTGGGGGACCAGGACGCCGGAGGGCTTCGCTGTCTCACCACTTGAAGACGAGGTTGAGCCACTCGGTGATGAGGCTGATCCAGAGCACCGCGATGCCCACCCGGCGAGAGGCGTAGTAGGCCACGGGGAAGTAGAACAGAAAGAGGCTCTTGGGGTCGCCCAGAAAGGTGACCCAGAGCCACACGTTCTCCAACCAGGGCAGCTGGTTCTGCAGCGCCTCGGCCATCGCGATGCCCGCACCCAGCGTTGACTCCATGGTGACCCTGGGGCCGGGCCGGCCAGGGTTTGAGCTAAGGCGGAAGCCGAGGAGTCCAGGCGACCAGGAAGCAGCTCCTCACGGCCCTCCAAAGCCCACCCTTCAGATCCGAGGCCCCGCCCCCTGGCCGTGGCCGGGAAAGCCCCGCCTCCCTGCCCCGCCCCCTGCAGCCTCAGGCTCGCGCGAGCCAGGCCTCCTGCCGGTACCGTTTCCTCCTCCTGCGCTCTTCCCTGGCCTCCCTCTCTACTGGGCAGCGCAGGGGACAAATCTTTTCGAAGGCGTTTCCGCAGAGCCCCACGTGGCTGCTATTGCCGGCACGTGGGCAGAGGGCGTAGAGGCGGCTCCAGCTGCTGTTCCGGGTCATGGGAGAGACTAACCTGAGGGTCGGCGGTGCGTCCAGGTTCCCTCCTTTACTTCTGTGAAGATGGATATGTAATGTCCCGGGCCAGGATTCCTTCCAGACCAGACCTTTCTCCTCCAGTACAGCTACCCTCCAAAAATATTTCGAGATCTCTTGGAGAGAAGGCTGGGGACAACGCCTGCTCCGGGGAGACAGGCATCCCTGGTCGGTGCTGAAGCGGGCCCCTACGTTTGCACACACAGCTGGCTAATCGGTACACGCCTTCCTCCCCCAGCCCAAGACTCTCCTGCTTGAATTCCTCTGCTGTTGATTTGGAGGCTGACAGATCAGCCTCTTGATTTTGAGGGGTCATCCCTAACGGCTTGAGAGTTGTTACGCATAGCACGGTCTAAATCACCCTTCCTCCCAGTTCTGTGCTCGCCTTGCCCCTCTCCTTTCGTCATCTTTGCCATCTTGCCTTCCAGAACCCCGCTGGGCAGATAAACCATGAGAGAGTAGCTGGGTTGGTAAAGGAAGAGGAGAGGCACACACCCACGACAAAAATTGGAATAATCCCTTGGAAGAACACACAGAAAACAGAAATCTCAGCAATTCTAGGTGAGGTCTTGCCTGGAGGCAGAGGTGAGGTGGGAGGAGACTGGTGAAGTGGTTCCTTCCTACCTCAAGCAACTTTGTTATTGGAGAGTTTTTGAGGGGTGAAAATGAGAATGTAAATTTGGGTTCTTCTTGGAAAGAGACTAATTTCACTAATTAAAAAGGTGTGGGGAAAGGAAGCTGGATACAAATCTCATTTTGCTCCCTTGCTAAATGTTTTTCAATTGCCCCAAGGAAAAAGCCTAAATTTTCTTAGTCTTTGAAAGTTTGTTTGGCCTCTAGCCAAGACAGCCTTTACCAGCCCAGTCCCACATTCTGTTTCATGGTATTTCTGAGCTACTTTATGCTCCCTGAAATCACCAAGCTCTCTCCTTTTAGGGGTCCTGACGTCTGCAGTTAACTCTGCTTAGAACATGGCCACTCTTTCACTGCT